ATTATACTGAAGTTTTATAGTTCTGCATTCATTTGCGGTAGTTAATGCTCAGCCATGTATCCTGGTGGTGAAACAGATATTTAAAAGTTCTATTAAGATGAGAACAGAACCTGGCTAACACAAATGACTGATCTTAAAGTTACATTCCTTTCTATCAAGAAGTGATATTTTTATGGTCCATTCTCCCATTGACCTTTTTGGCAGGTGTTAGAATGTTAGCACTGAGCATCAAGGAATTCCCATAGACAAGATTCTCAGCAGATGTAAATCAGCAGAGCTAAAATGCATTAGAGCCAAAAGAAATTATATCACCTAAGAACCCGCTCTCAGGAATCTGCTATCCCTACTGAAATACCTTTCAAGTCAACAGTGGGCACTGTTATCGCTTTAATAATCTGCTTATTGAGTCCTAAAAGTCATATGCCAAGCCTGTGAATCAATGCAAAACCCAGCAGACCAGAATTGATGAAATTATCATGATGGGTCTGCAAACTGTCTATAATATTTTGTGTCCTTTATATATCCAGCTTTTTCACAGAGTCTTGTATTTGCTCTGTGGTCTATTTTGCTTTTACGTAAGAGTACAACTGTTGAGAGTTGGAGGGTGATTTTTTTTTTTTTTTTTTAACAATGCACCCTCTTTTGGTCATGCTTTGTTCTTGTAACTTCGAAAATATGGCAGTTTTGTTTTGAATAGGCTGTTCTGGGTCACTGTATTCATAAGCTGCCCACAATTCCTGAAGAACAGACTTTGCTTGCTGAGCAGTCATTGCTGGTTCACAGGATGTCCATGAATCCAGGACAAGCAGACACATCAGAAGGTGCTGGGACTGATAAAAACTAGAGCGATAGCACAGAGGGTGAGCTCTTCAAGAGTTCAGCTTACGTAGAACTGTGACCTCCATTTTTGTTGAAGTTCCACACAACCAAGGACTCTTCATTTGTCCAAAAATAGCTTTGGACTTTATCACTGTTGAATGAAAGCAAGCAAGTATTGTTTTTCTTTTTTGGTTCATATAATTTTATATGTTATTTACAGATGGGAAGTAACATAAATCCAGTAAGAGCAACATGTCACATGTGTAGGTGTTTTTTAAACAGTAGAAAATATTGAGAAATTAAAAGCAAAAGACAGATGAATGAGGTGGTTTGAAGATGGAGGGGAAAACTTGACATAGAGCAATAATATGCACTCCATACTATATTTTATAGAAAGCCAGAAATGACGTGTTTTTTTCTGAATGTGAAGCAGACACTTTCTAAGTGTTGTGATGTTTCTTCGCAGAAAACTTGAGAAAGCAGCCTGCCTAGAAATTCCTTGAGAAGTGTTACGATGTTCCTGTTCTTAAGTACAGTGGAACAGCATTTGTTAAAGATCTGTATTCTATTAAGTGAAGACTGTGTGTTCAATATATAATACATAGTAATATATAATTCATATATAAAGTACAGCAAAAGTCAAAAAATGCATTCCTTTAGAACTTCAAGACCAGGAGTACAAAGTACCCAAGGCATTAAGCACTTCTATTTCTGTGGGCATCACTTCCATATCTGTAAGGGCTGATGGGGGTAATGAATGAACAGATTTTTAGTTTTCAAAAAATTACGTCAAGTTCCAAACAAAAAATTCTAGTATATTTTGGGGACAGCAGACACAATCTAGAAATATTTAGATGCTTCAGCAAACATATTACAGGAAAAAAATAATCATTTCTGAAGACAAAGTGACAAAGTTTCTTCTTTATAGCTGCCTTTTTTATGCTTCATGAGCCATCTGTGTCTGTGTATATAGCCCAAATACCTCTAAGCCTAAATGTTAATTCAGTGAGATACAAAAAGGAAAAAATAAATTGCATAGAGCTACTTCAAGAAAGATAACCTTGTGTATATAAGCCACAAGTAGTAAATCAAAAGGATGAGTCTCTCACCTTGCTTCCCTCATAAGCTTTCCTGTAAAGGCTCCAATAGTTCCCTTCACAGAGTCACAGACTGGTTGAGGTTGGAAAAGGCCTCTGGAGCTCATCTCATCCAACCCCCCTACTCAAGCAGAGCCACCTAGAGCTGACTGCCTAGGACCATCTCCAGACAGCTTTTGAATATCTCCAAGGATGGAGACTCCACTGCCTCTTTGGGCAACCTGTGCCAGTGCTCAGCCACCCTCACAGAAGAAGTGTTTCCTAATGTTCAGGCAGAACCTTCTGAGCTTCAGTTTTTGTACTTTGCCTCTTCTGTCACTTAGCACCATTGAAAGAGTCTGGCTCCATCTTCTTTAGAACTTCCCTTCAGGTCTTTTTCTTGCAAAGCTGCTTTGCAGTCAGTCAGCACCCAGCTTATATTGATGCCTAGGGTTATGTCTCTCCAGTTGCAGGAGCCTCCAACTAGACTTCGTACCACTGATCACCACTCTCTGGGTCTAACCATTCAGACAGTTTTCAGTCCACCTGACTGTATGCTCATCAACTTCCTTCTGAGCATCGTATGGGAGATAGTATTGAAAGCCTTACAGAAGTCTAAGTATACAATATCCATTGCTCTCCCCTTGTTTACCAAACCAGTCATTTCATCAAGCATGACTTCCCCTTGGTGAATTTGTGCTGACTGCTCCTGATGATTTTCTTATTCTTCATGTACCTGAAAATGACTTCCAGGATTAGTTGTTCCATCATCTTTGCAGGAATTCAGGTGAGGTTGACTGACCTGTAGCTCCCTGGATCATTCTTCTTGCCTTTCTTGAAGATAGCAGTGGCATTTGCTTTCATCTTCCTCTCCCAGCGGCCATGATCAATCAAAGATTATTGAGAGTGGCCTCACAATGTCTCAGCCAGCTCCCTCAGGACTTCTGGAGGCATTCTGTCAGGGTCCACGGATTTACGTATGTCCAGTTTGCTTACGTATTCCCTGATATGACTTTCTACTACCAAGAGCGTAACTTTGTGTTGGGTTTATGTGACGAGGTTTTGCTAGCAGGGAAGGGGCTTCTGTGAGAAGCTGTGAAAAGTTCCCCTCAGCTCCAAAACTGGTTGGACCAAATTCTGGCCAGGTTGGTCCCCTCATCCTCTCGGGCCAGGGTCAAGTCAATCACTACCTCTGCAAATGCCAAATTTAAAAAGGGGACAAAGGAACCTGAAATGGGCTGGACCTACAATGAAGAGAGGGGGAAGGCAGAGGGGGCTGGCTCCCCGGCCTCCTGGGCAGACGTCTGCCCACACTGAGTAACCATCACTTGACTGGAGATGGCTGTGGTAGTACGGCTTGGAGAGCTCCGAAGCTCCCTGCTCCCGAGGGGCCTGCTGGGTGGAGTTTGTCCTGCCAAGACTGCCAAGGTTCATTGGGTCAGTTGGGCACAGTGCGGCTGCAGCAGAGGAAGGAGTGAGATCTGAGAGAAATGGCCATGAAGACACCAAGGTCAGTGAAGATGGGGTGAGAGGAGGTGTGCCAGAGCCGAGATTCCCTTATAGCCAGTGGTGAGATGGCAGGCTGTGCCCCTCTGCCACCTGTGGAGATTAATGGTAGAGCAGAGACCCACCTGCAGCCTGTGGACAACCCCACGATGAAGCAGAGATGCCTGTGCCTGAAGGAGATTGTAGAGAATTGTCTCTGTGGGAAGGACCCCCCACGCTGCTGGAGACTGATGACAAAGCAGAGAGGCATCTGAAGTTTGTGGAGGACCCCACTCTGGAGCGGATAGCTGTGCCCTAAGAAGCTGTGACTCCATGGGAAAAGCCTGTTCTGGAGCAATCTGATGGGTAAGGATTGCATTCTGTGGGAAGGACTCACACTGGAGAAGTCTGTGGACTATTTCCCTTGAGGAGGGGACCCACTGGAGCAGGAGAAAAAGTGTAAGGAATCCTCCTTTAGAGAATGGAATGGCAGAAACAACATGTGATGAACTGACCTGCAAACCCCCCCATTCCCCATCCCCCTTCGCTGCTGGGGGAGGAGGTAGAGCTGGGAAGAAGGGAGGGATGGAGGAAAGGTGTTTTAAGATCTGGCTTTGCTTTTCATTATCTTTTCTGAATGAACTGTTAACAAATTAAATTGATTGTCCCCAAGCTGAGTCTATTTTCCCCGGGGCCATGGTTGGCGGGTGCTGTCTCCTTGTTCTTATCTCAGCCCTCAGGCCTTTTGTTACATTTTTCAAGTGAGTGACTGCTTGGTAGCTTAGCTGCCATCTGGGCTAAACCACAACAGGTTTTCTTGCTCTAGATTTTACCCCTTGTTCTCTGAGGCCTAGGATTCCTGAAGGCCAGTCTTGCTAATAAAGACTAAGGCAAAGAAGGCTTTCAGTACCCCAGCCTTTTCCAGGTCCTGTGTCACCAGGTCCATACCTCATTCACCAGTGGGCCCACATTCTCCCTAGTGTCCTTTTGTTACATGTGAACTTATAGAAGCCCTTCTTGTTGCCTTTGACATCTTTTTCCAGACTCAATTTGAGTTGAGCTTTGGCTTTCTTAAGTGCCTTCAAATCTAGAGTGCAAATACAGAGGGCGTCTGTGCCAGCACTTGGCCCATCCACCTCCTCCAGCATGGGGTTCTCCCCAGGCTGCAGTGTGGATATTTGCTCCAGCGTATTCCTCTCCAGGGAGAGATAATCTGCTTCACCACGGTCTTCAGAGACTGCAAGGGAATCCCTGCTCCAGTGCCTGAAGCATCTCCTCTTCCTCCTCCTTCTCTCACCTTAGTGTTTGCAGGGCTGTTTCTCACACTTTCCCCCTCACTCCTCACTGCTGAGCAGTGATTTGCCTTTCTTCTTTGTGCCTGCTGAAATTTTCTCAGGAATACCTTCAAGCCACAGCTGCAGGCAGCTGTCAGGGTGGGCTGTGTCTATGAAGGCTGGAGCGCCTGGAAGAACAATGCCCTCTACCACTTGCTTCTGAGTCCTTTCCCCTACTTGTGCCCCAGAGCCCCTCTCCCAGGCACACCTTCTGCCTGTAGCTGGGCACTGGCAGGGAGATGCCTCCACATGCTGCTGCCTCCACATGTTTCTGGAGTCCACAAGAATGAGGGAACAGCTGTTGAGGGACACACTGTGCTTCCTCCACCACTGCCAAGATGAGCTGAGGAGAAATCGAAAGTCTAGCCTCCTACACTCCCTCTGCTGTGGTTCCTACCTCAATGTGGAGAAAGCCTTCTGCTGGTTCCATGTGTTTGTGAAAGTAGTGTGGTAGGTTATGCCTCAGTCACGGCACCACCGGCTAATGGTGCTGCCCTCCAGCAGCTCCTGCAAGCTCCACTTGACAAATGCCTCCAAAGGAACACTCTCCCTAGAGATGAGGTTGTGTCTGGATGACTCAGATGCCTTCTGACCACCAAGTAGGTAGAGGCCGGCATTACCAGCAGCACGATCTGGCCAGAGAGCTGTGCTGTGGCAGAGATGCAGTTCTTCGGGCACATGCCCAAGTGTGCCAGGCACAACAGCTTCCACTTCAAATATCTACAGAGCTGCACTTACATACTGGTGGGCATAGACTTTCCCACCCATGTCTTGAAGACAGCTGTGATGCACCTCCTGATGACCATACCCATCAAACTGGCACAGGAAGAATTTCCTGCTGCTGTGGGACGACAGCCAGAGGCAGCTGTGCTACTTCCTGGAGGAGAAATGCCTTGACCATCTCCTCTTTAGCAAGAAGAGAGTGCCCGAGGACATGGTCTTGTCTCTGGCCCTCTGCACAGTTGGCCTGCTCAACCTCTCCCAGCACCTCACGCAGAAGCCGGCTGCCCATGCCCAAGCAATGAACAAGTTTGAGGAGTAGTGAGATGGGCCCATAAGACTGCTGATCTCCAGATGTTGAAAGAGGTCTTCATGCAGAGAGCTGTGTTTGCAGAGCTCACAGCTGACAGCAGATGATGACCTCATATCCTAGGGAAAAAGCACAAATGACAAGCACCATGAGAGCAGCACAAGGCTCTGGCTGCTGCCCCAGCATGAGGCTTGGGCATAAGCCAATGCAGAGCAGTGGCTCTGAGAGCAGGAGATGCATCCCATCACAGATCACCAAGGGAAAATGGAAATCTTCATGAGCATTTGGTAGTAGCCATCACATGAATAACTTTTCCCTGTTAGATTTATTTAATCTAATGCCCTAGTATTTCCCTCCCTAATTAGCATTGCTTTTGTGTAATTAAACTTTTGGTTTCTATAGGGAGACACTATAGCTATTAAATTCATAATTAAAAATATTGCCATTGAATTGTAGATTTTAGCTACATCCGTGCAATCTTAGTGAATCCCACAGCTTTGGCAGTATGTGATATAAACAGATTTTAGATGGAGAATGCCACAGAAGGTGAGAGAACAGAAAACTGCTTTGCTGTGGTAGATATAGCTGCAAGAGAAAGCCCACCATTGCACAAACCACCAGCTAAATGCTATAAACCATACATTATAGGTCTTCTGTTGATATTCTGAAAATAAATATGATTGTGAGCTGTCAGAAAGATTCACTGCACCAATTATGCTCATCAGCAACTGACAACCTATCTAGGCAAACCCTTTTAAAATCTGAGCCTCCTACAACACTAATGAGCATTAAAGAACAAAATATATAGCTCCCATGAGTCGGAGGCACAGCATCATAGCTTACCACTGCTATAAACAGTAAATCTTTACATATGCCTATTGGCAATGATGTTCCACAAATGTCAGCATAGACTCTTGTTTTCTAACTTCATCAGTAATGCTCCTCTTCATTACATTTATAATGTGCAACCTAAAATCAACTATACCAACATAAAGGAGGATGTTTTATGCAGAGAATGAGATTTCCTCTTGGGGTGCGAAGAAGCAGGGTGGTGTGAAAAGGGTTTCGTATGACTTTCAAGAATTGAGAGCCGCCCTGAAGATTTCTAGGTCTCTCTCTAAAGACTATGCTACTGTTTGTTTCAGCAAAAGGTTTTTTTGTTTGTTTGTTTGGGTTTTTTTTAAGCAGTATTGGCCATGGAACAGTGCCACAGTCTCTGTCATATTCTACGCTGCAATGTAGCCATTTGTCACAATTTTATATGCGGTACAGGATCTCATTGAGGTGTCATGCCCTCAAAACCAATTCCTGCTTTTTTTACACAATAAAATAGGAGTATGCGCTACTAAAGAAAGAAATTGTTTTGTTTGTTGGGAGTGTTGAGAGCAGTAACTTCACTCAGAGGAGCAGTCTCAGATTATTTTAGTACGGTTGTCACACGCACAGATAAACCCAGTGAAATGTAGTTTTCAGGATCATTATTTGTATAACGTTTCAAAACAATTTGTCTTGACCTAATGCTTTCATAAATACGTGATGCTTGGAACTCTTGGGTGCATCTACAGGCCACTCCAAAACTGAAGTCTGGATAAATGTAGCAATCAACTGTGTAGTACCGTATGTGGCGCACCATTTCATTAAAATAAGACAAAGCAACAAACTGCACATCACTAAGTAGAAATTTCTAATAATCTACCAGAGAAAGAACAGCAAAAATGTTTTTAAAGCATTTTTAAATGTTTCAAATGTGTGAGAAACATTTCAGATCCCTTCACTAAAAAGCTGAATTCCATTATACAGGTAGGTGCACAAATACATAGTGAAAGACACAAACTGTATACTCAGAAGCATATTTTCTTGCAGTGTCCCTGCCAGTGCTCTTCAGGACAGTTCCATGGAATCCGCACTATCCAAAGGGAGATGTAGCTGAAATGGAGGCAGGAAAAACTTCAAGTTCAACTTTTAAGTGGAAAACCTTGAAGTGGTGGGAAAACCTTCCAGCATATGAAAGAACACACTCATGAACCTTGGACTGCCCTGAATCTATAAATACATATCCCATAGTGATCTGTGGGCATGGTCCGTCCCACATACACTATCTTACCCTCATGTCAAATTGCTATGCCCTTGATTATCTGCACATGGCACTGAAGTAGGAATCAACAGATAAATGTGACCAATGAGTAAGAAACATACTAGAGAATTACTCTTGCCTCCAAAATTAGACATTTGGAAAGATCCTCAGCAGGACAAAACAAAATCACACTTTTGATCGTTGGGTAAAGGGGAGAGGTAAGAGAAAGAAAAATCAGTAACCACCAAAAAGTAGAAGAGGAGAATTTGAGCCTCTAATTCAAAGGTGAAAAAGGCAATGAAATATCCAGCGTGTTCACACAACTGCAGGCTTCCTATCAGCACAGAAACATCATCTGCACAAAAGGGTGTTGAATCGGTAAGACCACCACACCAGTCTTGTCATCAGTGAGATAACAAGCTTCAAGATAAAACAACTGGCCCTTTTTGGCTGACAACCCTTGGTAGCTGAGAGGTGAGTTCTATTTGTCCTTCTAAGAATTCATTCAACAGCCAGATTTTCCCTGCCTGGCAATAAAACACAACTAGTGATAATAGACTCTGCTAATCCTGCTCTTCTTCTGGTTGGAAAGGAGGATGTCCATTACAACTCGCAATTGAAACGAATGGAGTAGAATAGTGTCACAGACCTCTACACTAACAGCCAGAATGGACTTGCCAAAGCTCAATTTCTGTGATACAAATCTGTAAGAGTTTGGCAAATATGGCAAGATAATCTTCCAGTGAGGAGTTTGCAAGCACTTGAGCAGTTACTGCAAAACAGATGACAAATATTTCTGTTGGTTAGTTTGGTACAGTGTCTTGGTCATATACCTATATCTGAAATGCATTAAAGAAGCAATGAAAGTAGATTACATGGAGCCTAGAAAAAGTATTTCCTTTCATAGGTTTCACATTTTCTGAGCTTTAATTTAATTAAATGCCTTCCTGCACTTCACCTGTTAAAAAAGCTCCTATTTTCTGCTGTTGACTCCATTCATTCAAGTGGATCAGAAGAAGAAAAGAAAGTCCGAATTCTGCTTCCAGGCAGGTTGAAGTACAGTGCAGCTCTGTATTCATCCTGCTCAAAAATACACGTCATATATATCTACCCAATAAATACTGGATGACATTTTTCATAAGTTTTTAGACCATTGTAATTACACAGTCCACCTCCTGCATAACCTACCTTTTCACAGATATACTACTAAAGTGATACTTGTAATAAGTTTTACCTACCATTTGCCCTGCTGAAATCTGTTAATTAAGACTTTCAGACACACACAATAATCCTGCCTTTTCTGTTCCTGAAGGATTATGCATATGCATGAGTGATCTCTGCAGCTGGAATGTTAACACTGCTGAGGGTAATATTCTATATATGGAACAGTAGCCATATGCCCACACATCACACCTTGCCCCTTTTGCATAAATATAATCCAAATCTACATTCTGGGATATGCAGTGTTTCAGAAAAGATAGCGTGGGAAAGGAAGGTTCACTGAGCAACAAATTTTCTTTAAGCCTAAGGAAAAAAAAAAAAAAGGTAGAAATAATAGTTCTGATGCTTTCCAAAAATAAAGCACAGCTATCAGAACTCCCCGGATATTTGACACCTTCTTTTCTCTGCAGTAATAAATACATCTAAAGAGGCTTCTATTTTGATATTCTCCTTTGAAAAACCCTCCACCTTCTTCAATACAAGATTTTAAGAACCTTTTAAGATCATTGCAGTTATTCAATCTTCCTTACTGCATAACACACAAAAATGTATTTTCTGCCTGAGAAACAGCAGACTTTTTAGAAAGCTATCCAAGCATTGTAACATTAAACGATATAGGCTTCTTAAGCTGTCCATCAGGAAAAAGAAACACCTCAGAAAGCAAGATATGAAGCACCTACACATATGTTGACAGGGACCAAAGTTTGTCTTGCGATCTTATCTAGTAAAGCATTCACCGAACAAGCTGAAGATTATAGTCTGATGCTCTGATTGCTCTAGGGATACTGACCCCTATCACTCACCTTCCAGCAACAGCCTCTAAGCAGATGGCTATTCCAAGGTGCAGGACACTCCCAGTCTGCTCTGGGTTTGCTTCCACATGGACAAGATAGGTGTTCAGTCAGAAAGAGAAAATTCAAAAGTGATTATTACTGTAACTACAGACTGGTACTCATTTCTCCTCCTTTCCAACACAACTCTTTTAGGTGCTCCTGAGTTGCTAAACTGGAGTTTAATTCTCGTTCTTCCTTTCTATGAGAGAGATGTTGCCCATAGTGTTTTAACAACATTGCAGAATTCAAGTAGTGCTCTCTAACAGAGATGAGATGTGTCCCCTCAGTCCTTCACATGCTTAAAGAAACTCTATTTGATAAATAGGATGTTTACCATAATTCTTGTACATAGAAACATAATTAATGTTAGTGTTGCTATAGTAAATCATTAACTTAAATATTATCTTGCAATTTTCGCTTTTAATTAATAGAAATCTTCCACTCATTAGGGCCATGAAGATGATCCGAGGGCTGGAGCACCTCTGCTATGAAGACAGGCTGAGAGAGTTGAGGCTGTACATCCTGGAGAAGAGAAGGCTCCGGAGTGATCTTATTGCAGCCTTCTAGTACCTGAAGGGGGCCTACAAGAAAGCTGGAGAGGGAAGTTTTTACAAGGGCATGTAGTGATAGGACAAGGGGCAATGGATTTAAACTGAAAGAGGGGAGATTTAGATTAGATATAAGAAAAAAATTTTTCACTCTGAGGGTGGTGAGGCACTGGAATATGTTGCCCAGAGAAGTTGTAGATGCCTCATCCCTGGAAGTGTTCAAGGCCAGGTTGGATGAGGCTTCGGGCAACCTGGTATAGTGGAGGGTTTCCCTGCCCATGGCAGGGGTGTTGGAACTAGATGATCTTTGAGGTCCCTTCCAACCCAAACCATTCT